GTACTGAACTAATCTCTCATCTACAGCTGAGAGACAAATCGCCCATTGAGGCTGACTAACTTCCGTCTGTATAAACATGTATACAACACAATTACTTCCTTGGTCTGGAGAAGCGATTTCTCCCTAATTCGTGGCTGCGCTGCGGCGAAGCAAGATACATAAAATCGCGATGCCTACTTCGCGGTTTTTGCTTCACTGCAGTGCTTCAATGGGTGGTGTGAAGCGCCTTCAACGAAGCTACCTGACCCACCAAAAAAACTACAAATTTTAGTATATTGTGCGATTTCTGAGTACTGTCAGTGTTTGATACAAAGATCAAATTGAGTAGTGAAATTCAGACAAGCCTACAGAAACGATCCAGCAGTGTAACGGGTCCTATTATATTTTGAATAAAGTGAAATTACGTTTGGCGCGACGTTGGCGTAAATGCATCGCCTTCTGTCGAGAAATGTAGCATGACATAGCAGGGTAATCACTTTAGGGCAGTTTGGCGCAAATGGCGCAGCAATATCACATGACTGAGTTTGGTGTCCAACATCGTGTAATAACGCCTGTAACTCCGTAATAACGGAGTCACATATGCAGACTCCATTAAACTAGTAAGTTTATTGTACTCGTTGAGCTGTTAAGAATTTTAAAAGGAACGTTAATTGCTTGTTCGAGTTTAGTTCTTTGTGCTCTACATCGCCGTGCCAGTCATGAGATTAAACACACCGTGGCATTCGACGGCACAGATCCCAATGACAGAAATGATTTCGCCGTCCTTAAAAATGACCAGCCATGAATATTCAAAGACCGTGTACTAGCGTGTCGACGTCATTCTAGTGAGATCGAGCCCTGACACAGACTGGACACGACCACAAAGTCAGCGTTCTGATTGTGCTCGGGCTCAGACAATGAGCGCCATCGGAGTGTGATTGCGTCACGGGAAGAGAGAGGAGACAAGCTTGGATTATTCAAGGTGCTGTTGGACCAGTTCCCTCCTCAATCCTCCAGTTCATATCTAAAAGACATTGATTCGGTTAAATCGGTTTGTTTAAAATAATTGAATCGTATTGCAGGCTGGTGAAAACCAATTCGGCCAAAAGGCAACCTCCGTCTTTCCATGCTCATGCACTGTGCCACACAAGCGTGCTTGGCCGAACTCTGTTCTCACAGCCGCGTTATTTCTTCCCCCTCTGGCGCGTGTGTCTGTTTGTGTGTGTGTGGAAAAACAAGGGAGTGGGGGGAGGTGCGAAGAAAACTGTTTCTCCGAGGGGTTGAAACACTTCGGGGCCCACGTCAGAGAAGCAAGTGGGAGAGAAAATCCCGCTGACTGCGGGAGCGGGCGTCCTTCCCCGGCGCCACAAGAAATCGATGTCTGCGGCGCCAGGGTGGCCACGGGGCGTGCTGTCCCGCCGCCAGTTTGTCCCGAAGAAATCTGAAAGGGGGGGGGGGGGGGGGGGGGGGGGGGGGCGAGAGCGCCTCTCTTTTCGTCCTCGAAGAAAATGGTCCTCCGAGCACGTTTTGAAGCCCCCCGTGGACCCGGGGCTTTGGTGTGCGTTCCTTCTTGCTCGGCGTGTCTCGTTTCTCGCTCGTTGATGACTCGGCATGTGTTACTTTTCGAGACTTGTCCTCCTACGTGTGAAAATGAATGTCGTATACGTCTATCGCTGCCTCTTAGAATGTCTTTCTTTGTGTGTCTTTGTAACTCGAAGGTGACGGGGTCGTTATTCTAGAAGACGGGCAGTAGGATGAGTCTGACAGAGCCTTACTTTTAGAGGTGGGAGACTGTTCGCAACTCGAACGACATCCATTAAATCGAGTAGTTGCTGGGCTAGTTGGTGCATATTTGGTACAAAATTAAATGGCGCAAAAAGGACGAGGAGAATAGAGTGTAAAGAGGACAGGCTCTGTCCACTTAATTCTCTTTCCTCTGATTGGTATTTCGATCGCCAAACCACTCCAGTTTTCGCATATCTTGGACAGGCGGTGGCTCCCAACTTCTGTACTTCACGTTTTTTCCTCTGGGTGGCGTTCACTTCTCTGACGTCGCGAATGGGGGTCCGCGAAATGCAGAAACCGCAGACAGGAAAAAAGATAGACGTATTGTCAGCGTTATTATTTTTGAATAATACACTGTGCTTCATCCCACCACATACGATGAACTGGTATGTCTGTCTGTACCTTATGCTGGTCCGTATCTTTTTTTCTCGATACGATGGACTACAACCTGAGCTACAGAACGCCGGGTCCAATGAAGAGCCAGCCTCAAACCAGGTGGTGCGCAGAGTTCAGATGAGCGTGCGCGCGTCTCGGCACACGGACATGTCATACCGCAGCAATAGATCACATGATATCTAAATCGCTGTTGATTAAACTTGTTTACCCGAAGTAGGTGGCACAACGGTGTGCTAGTAATATTCACAGCGTGTGCTCAGAACGAAATTCCTCTTATCGCCTGCGATCAATGACGATCTTGGTAATATGCAACGAACGCACAGGAAAGATTCATCGTAACTTGCCATCATCCCACCCTCAGCAGCAGTGAATGTCAGTAGCTATTTGTCGTTTAATATCTAGTTTATAGGTTTATTGATTGAGCTATTGCAATTCCTTTTCCGCCACATTTTGCTTACGGCCTCCATGTGCTCCAACTTTACACTGCCCGGACATGGGTGGTGTGAATAAAGGTTTCCCTCTCTCTCTCTCTTCTTTTCTTTAACTATACTAATGTGTCTATATATATATATATATATATATATAAGCTGGCAATGGTGGCACATACAGGGTGCGGCCGTAAGGACCACCATATTTGGCACGCCTTGCAAAATTCGATTTACAAACGCGCATACCTGAAATTGCACACACGAACGTATTTTCGCAACACGTTTTTTGTCTATTTTTTAGAGCTCTGCTTTGAGGTAATGAAATAATGAAATATAGCAAAATCGGAGGCCATGTGCTTCCTATGTCCTACAACAGCCTGTTTTTCGCCTGCACACTGGTTTTGATATTGCTCCAGAGTGGCTTGATGAGCGCAAAAAACGCTAAGAACCATTGTTAGAGGCTGTCAATGAGCAAGATAATTGCGATAACTAATCATATATGAGCAATAACAACCTGACAGCAAGCTCACAAACCAGTGTCCAGACGACCAACATCCGGTATAAGGCATAGGAAATGCCGTGCAGCAGTTTTTACTCTATCTTTAAAATTGTACCACCTCTGGCTTCAGCAATAAAAAGAAGAAAAAAAAAACTTGTTACAAAGCTAAGCTAGCGTGCCCAATTTCAGGTATGTACGTTTGAAATTCGAATTATGCAAGGCGTGCCAAATGTGTTGGTCCTTACAACCGGGCTTTGTACATGAGGCAAAATATGTGACGCACAATCTATTTCTTGAATTTTTTTTTTCATAAAGTAGCACATGTTGATAAGAAAATTTAAGCATATGATTTTGCATCCTACTACTGCTGAGAATTAATTTGCCTCTAAGGCCGGGGTCACACTGCTTATACATCATACAAAAGACAGTCTACAAATATGAGTCACCGCAATATCCGTGGTTCGAATGCCGCGTGCCAAGTTTCTTCTTGAATTCTTTATTATGCAATTAAATTCAAATGTGCTAGCGAGCTGAACAAGAAAGGCGTAAGTAATCTCTGGAGAAGGGGAACAAGGGGAAGGAAGGACAAACACAAATTTCCAAACACAGCTAGGTGGCGGTGCGCGACCAAAAAAATCCGCCTGGTCCGGGTGTCAAACCCGGGACCTCCCCATTTACAGCGGAGCTGTGGTTGGAGATTTGTGTTTGTCCTTTGTCCCCCTTGTTCCCCTTCTTCAGGGATTTCTTTCGCCATTCTTGAATTCATTGCCATGGGGCATTCGAAGCACAGATCTCGCGGTTACTCGCGTTCGATTCTGTATGTAGACTGTTTTTTGTATGACGCATAAGCAGTCTGACGCCGTCTTAAGCGGGTCATGAAACGACATTGGGTTGGAATGTTTCTAAGTTTGCAGAGGCGTACTGGTTCTAGTCTGGCCCAAGTACGCTCGCACACACCGCCACTGATTCAGAAGCTTCTTGGTCGCGGTGAAATTTCGAAAATTGAAGAGCACTATTTGTTTCAGTCTTGCCTTCGGAAAGCTTGATGACGTAATTGTGGGATCGAAACCACACCAATGACGACAGTCGAGTGCGGCTCATGGATTGGACACGAGAACTGCGTGAGCACTCGACTTGGGCTCGTAACAATCAAGGCCTCGGCGGACACTAGGGTAGTGGCGTGTGTCCAACCACTGCTGTGATGAGAATAGCCGATTTCTGACAATGCCTGGAGCTCAGCACGCGTTTTCTACTTTGCCGACCCCAGCTCGTGGCTGTGATTAACGTTGACGGCATAGGATAGTCACCAGTTCTCCTGGCCGCTTATTCTGGCTCCAAGTTGAGGGGACCAACGATGCTCATATTCCTCGAATTATTTTGGCGACCTTCATTGCCTAGAAAGAAAAACTAGGGCAAGTTTCTTCAGGTATTAACGTTGGGGAGTGATTCAATGTAGTATTTATCGAAAGTAGAAAAATCGTTTCGATTCCACGATATTGCGCCTGTTTGGAAATACGTCCACCGACTGATGTGGTCACTAACAGGATGACAGCGGCAAAGGGGGGGGGGGGGGGGAGGAGGGGGGGGGAAGGGGGGGGGGGGGTCTTTTTGTTCCCAGCGTTCAGCGCGAACTTCCTACCTTCGGTAATACTTCGTCGTCTCGTAAGTCTCGAGCGTGGAAGCGCAGCCAAAGCACGGTGGAAGGCGACGGAAGCACGGGGGACGACCGTGCATCCGAAAGACAAGCCCTGCCGTTTTAACCTTGTCAGTGAGCACTGTAGAAGACGTGCGACAGCCAGCATGGCATGAGGTAGAAATGTCTCTTCTCGCTTGAAAGGGCGGAACTCTAGCAAGGATCAAATATGCATCAAATATGCATCGTCCTGGTTCGTCAGTGGGCAAGGTGGCAGTACACCGTCAACGATGCTAAGCACGCACGTCTTCTTTGCTATACAGGTTAGTCCTGCGTATCCTGCTTGGAATTATCGTAGCAATGATCCATTTCTTGTGCTGCTGCCTTGCCCGCAGAGATGTAAACAGTTGTTAATAGATTGTGTTCATGCTGTTGTAAACCTATTAGAACTTTGTGGTGATGTGGAAACAAACCCTGGCCCATCTGATACAAACCCTGCTTCATCAGACACACAGCTAATTTTACAGCTTATTACAGGTCAGAAAGAAATTGCGAAAGGAATACAGGAGGTTAAGGTTGCTCAGACAAGCATGGAACAAAAAATGTCATCTTTCGAAAAGCGTCTAGAAACATTTGAAACAACTCTGGGAACATTGAAAGAGTTAAAAGAGAAGATGGTTAGGTGCGAGACACAAACTTCTCATTTGGAAAGGCATGTTATTTTTCTGCAAGGTAAAATAGACGACCTAGAGAACCGAGGCCGTAGAAACAACCTCATCATTCATGGCATGGAAGAACTGCCAGATGAATCTACAGATAGCTTGCATGACCAACTGATTAATGGTGTGTTTCGAGATAGGCTTGGAATTTCGATAACAGGGGTTGAACGATGCCACAGATTGGGAAGGAAGGTAGCAGATAAGGCCCGGCCTGTCATCTTGAAACTGATCGATTTCCGAGAAAAGTTATCTGTATTAAAAAACTGCCGTAAACTGAAGGGTTCAAAGATATTTGTGACCGAGGACTTTTCGCTTAGGGTTCGTGAAATTCGTAGGCATCTTTGGGGGAGTACTGCTGTAAACAGAGCAAATAAAGAAAAAGTTAAACTGATCTACGATAAGGCAGTCGTAAACGGAAAGGTGTATACATGGGATCAGTCAACTAAAAGAGTGCTAGAACAACAAAACGAAATCAGAGATTGACGTCGTGGCCCTACGCCGGAGGTTCTCGGAATTATAAATGTCAACTGTCGGAGTGTTGTAAATAAGGTGTTAGAGCTTGAGCATTTAATTTCCTTATATTGTCCAAAAATTGTAGTTTTAACTGAAACATGGCTGAATGAAAATATTTTTGACAGTGAATTTCTTCCGCCGAATTATAATGTTTTTCGCAAAGATAGAGACGGGAGAGGAGGGGGGGTTGCAGTCCTTTATGACAAATCTGTTAAGCTTTTGAGAATGGAGGATATTCTTGATGTGGAAGGAATCTTTTGTAAAGCACATTTTCATAACAATTCATATATGTTCGGGGCGGTATACAGACCTCCAAATGCACCTCTCTCTGTCTTACAGAATGTTAGAGACTATTTAACAAAACATGTCCAGTCGAACACAAAAGTAATCCTGTGCGGAGATTTTAACCTACCTAATATCGATTGGCCTAATTTTTCGGCCGGTGCTGTTCACAGTATGCACAACCACGAACTTCTGGACATTGCCTTTACTTTTTGGTTTTTGTCAAGTTGTAAATGAATTTACTAGAGTACAAGGTGACTCGAAATCAATTTTAGATCTTGTGTTTGTGAATGGCGAATTTGGAAATAATTATGAGTATGAAGTTGTTGATGGTATCTCAGACCACAGGGCCGTGCTTTTTTCGTTATCTAATATAAATATGCTCACAAAAGTGAAGGACTCTACTGTTCTAAAGTTTGCACAAGCGGATGACGTTTCCGTTCTTGACTTGTTGGACTTTGAGTTTGATAAATTTCACAGCTTTTCTCTGTCTAGTGGTTGTAGTACCAATTCACTGTGGTTGTATTTTAAAAACCTTGTTCAGAGCTGTATATCACGCTTTGTTCCTAGTAAAACTAAGAAGATTAACCCTCATAATCCATAGATATCGCGCGACTCGATACATTTGAAGCGCCAAATCAGTCGAGCGAGAAAATCGTATAGAAAGAATGGCTTCTTTGCGATCAAGAACAAAATATCAATGTTGTCGGACAAATTAAAAACTCAAATGTATTCAGACAAGTACAAATACTTTAACGTTACACTTAGTCAATTTATTAGAACTTCTCCGGAAAAGTTTTGAAGACACATTGAGCCGTCCTCCCCTATCACTAATATGTTTATTAGTGACTGTCTGGTTATGAATGATAATACCGCAATTGCCAACTCATTTAATGATCACTTTAAGTCCGTTTTTACAGATGATAATGGAAGCATGCCAAGCTGTATAAAGCATGAACGCTTGCCTAGTATTTCAGATTTAGTTTTAAGTGAGAGTGGGATTTTGAATATGTTACTGAACCTAAACGAAAAGAAATCTATGGGACCCGATTGCTTGCCAAATGCATTTTTTAGGCGGTACGCTGAGTGGATATCTAAGTATTTATTTATCATTTATAAAAAAATCTTTGTCTGAAGGCTCCCTCCCAAAGGACTGGAAAACGGTCAAATTTAGACCATTACATAAAACAGGGAACAAGCAACTCGTCGCCAACTATAGACCAATTTCGCTTACTTGTACGTCTTGTAAGCTACTCGAACATATTATTCATAACCATATTTTTGAATTTCTTGAAGAGAATGCCGTTCTTACACAAAAACAGCATGGTTTCAGGCGTGGTTATTCCACAACCACACAGTTAGTAGAAATGACACATGACTTTGCATCCTCCATAAATAAAGGAAATCAGATTGATGTTATTTTTTTAGATTTTGTGAAGGCCTTTGACAAGGTCTCGCATAACAAGTTAGCAACCAAATTACGCGAAATTTTTAAAAATGATCAACTTGTAAATTGGATCGTGGAATTCCTTTCTTATAGACAGCAATACGTAGATTTTAACAATACTTCGTCGTATAAGGTGACTGTAGACTCGGAAGTTCCGCAAGGATCAGTTCTGGGACCTCTTTTATTTTTGTTATTCATTAATGACATTGTGAATAATATTTCTGTTAAACTGAGATCGTATGCTGATGATTGTGTAGTTTATTACGAAGTAAATGATTCTAGTGATCAATATAGGTTAAACAAAGACTTAGATTTGATTGATAAATGGTGTAGCTCTTGGCAGATGTGCATAAATTATGAGAAAAGTGTTTTTATATCAGTAACTCACAAAAAGAAGCCCCTCCAGCTTAAATATAATGTAGGAAACCACAGCCTAGTAGAGGTTTCAGAATATAAGTAGCTAGGCATTTGGATAACCAACCGTCTCAGCTGGAATAAGCATATTGATTACGTTACTTCGAATACTCTTCGTAAACTCTTCTTTTTGAAAAAAAACTCTAAAATACTCCACCTCCGACACGAGATTACTAGCTTATAAAACTATCAATCGGCCTATGTTAGAATACGGTAACGTCATCTGGGACCCATTTACAAAATTAAATTTGACAAAACTAGAAAGAATTCAGAACAAAGCCACTAGGTTCATATTTAATTCATATGGGAGGACATCAGTATAAAATCTTGTCCAAAGAGCTGGCCTCCAACCAATCACTGAAAGAAATCGGGTGTGCAGATTAAAATTTTTTTATCAGATTATTCATGGGTATTATAAAATTAATGTGCAAGATTATATATTTTTTTTCACGGGGCTATTCTACTAGACAAAGACATAGTTTTTCCATAGTTCCATTCATGCCTCGTAAAATTGTTTTAAATATTAGTTTTTTCCACGGACCGTGGAGGAGTGGAACGAGCTTCCCCAAGAGACAATTGAGCAGAGATCTCTTGATTTGTTTGCCGCGCGTTTAGTATAATATTTTTTTTTTCTGTCTGTTACCGTGTGGCGGAGGATGTGAATGCATGTACAGTTGACTTTGTGTATTGTGTTTCATTATGCTTGTACCCCACCTGCTATGATCTCCATGTGAGATCAGCAGTATTACTAAATAAATAAATAAAATAAATAAATAATTAATCCTCCTTTGAGAGCGAAGCTTTCTAAAGTACTTCTAGGAGATTTTCAGGAGCACCGAAAGTGGCACATAACCTGTTGCCACGCGTATTCTCAATAGCCCCTTAACTTATCCCCATGCCCTTCTGAGAGAGTAAGAGGAAAAAAACGAACATGTCGCCTTTGCTAGCACTCCTACCCAAGTATATAATGCTTATCAGAATAACAGAAAACCAAACAAAGGCTCGAATGACTTCGATTACTCCGCTGCCTGAAGGCAGACAAAAGGCGGCTGTGAAGAGAAAAGAGGACCGCGTAGCAGGCGTCTAAACAGAGGCTCGAGTTCACAATCCCGCGCTCTAACTCCCACAAACAAAAAAAGAGAAAAAACAAAGTGGTGGTGCCGTTGTCGCGGGTGTTCCAACAGCAAACGGGGGAGGAAGTGTCTCGCACCTCTTCTCCGTTTCACCCGGTGAACTGTAGGGGACGCTCAAGGTGCCGTGCAACTGTAACGTGACCTTTTGTGAGAAGTACAGTGACGCGAAGAACGCGTAGCCACGGGTTACGTTCGCAGTTCTGGATTGGCCTGGGACGGATCGTAACGTCCATTGCGGTCCATCGGGAGATAAAACGAAGTACGCGCCGCGTGGTGGCCGATAGTGAATCTCGGGAGAGCGAACAGAATGAACTGCGCGTCCGATAAGCTCGCTCGCCAAGGACGCGGCCGGATCCAGCTGACAGGCGACCCCTTTGTGTCGTCACTATTGAAAGTTCGCAGAACGAACGCCTTAATCGCGCCGTGGGGGCAGCCCCCTTCTAATGGCTCCAGAGACAAAAAAATACCGCCGCGGTGCCTGCCGCGGCACAATGGGACTCAGATCGTGGTAGACAGCAGAGCCTTTTAAGCCCGTGACACCGCTTTAGAGGTTGGCGCTACGGCCTGATATTGGGTTCGGGGGGCCCGCGATCTGGGGAGAAGTATATACAGAGCCCAAGTGCTTTCTTTAGCGCGGCGGAGATGGACGGCGGTGGCCAATAGACGAGTCTTGGCTCAAGTGACTCGGGGCTTTGCCTTTATGTATGAAAATGGGGATCGAGCGCGGCTCTGTGCGCTGGAACATAACATCACTATAAAACCGGATGTTTATAGGCATGAACTAATCGAGGATGAACTTCATTGTGCTCGAATGCGAACTTTGAGAAAGAATCTGCTTGGATGTGAAGCCTCGTGTGAACATTCTTTCGCAGTGTTATAGATGGAATGGCTGGTCGCCCACCCCCGTCGTAGCCGGGATGAATCATCACCGATGAGGTTTAGTTTGTGGTATCTTAGGTACCTTGGAATGAGCGCTTGTTTTCACCAACGACTCATCACTATCTGGCCACAAAACATCACTTGATAAAGGCGATTGTGAGGCGATAAACGCCGCTGAATCTAGCGACGCCTAATCTTTTCTTTTGTTTACTTTATCAATAAGTGCATAAGAGTGGTTCAAAGTATCCTCGAGTGGAGTAGGCTTAAAACTCCAAACTAACGCGTTTAAAGAGTGTACACGAAGCGGTCATTTGGGCAAGTTGGTTCATAGTCTCAAAAAGGTAATAAGTGCCGAAAACAACATCAACGGCATGGTCCTAAAATGTAAAAATCGCCCAAAACAACAAAGACGAATAAACTACTTGCGAGTGGGCTTTGTGTTTGTCTTATTTCGTCTTTGTCCTTGCTGTTTTCGGCGCTTTTTACCTCTTACGACAATATACAAGAGCGAGGTATAAGTAAGGGGGAAGAGCAATAGAGAAGACAAAGCTGAGTTTTTTTCTCGCGCAATCCTTGTTACCGTTACTTGGGATGTTCCACGCCCCTGTCATAAACCAACTTGCCCAGCTTGCATTCCTGCAGCGTATTGTCCTTGCCGATTAATCTTCATGGCCCTCTGAGGCGTCTGCACGTCACCATTAGCCACGAAATATAGACAAGACGGGCGGCAGAGGAAGAATGTTCGGGATGGCTCATTCCAGCCACCCTGTCCGCATAGGCCTCGTTGTTCATGCTGTGAGCCTCTGACACGGGAGAACCTCGAGTAATCTCCTTGGCACAGTAGGCAGAGGAATGATGAAGAGTTGGAATCATCTATCTCTATGTTGTTCTCTGTTCGGAAGTGGGAAGCCTAGCGGAAGGGACCGTCACGAGATCCAAAAGACCTGAATGTCGCATGCTGGATACTCATAAAACAAATATTGTTGAAAACAAATATTGTTGAAAGTATTTTGTTTTCCGGGAGAACTTCTATAACCAGTTATTTTGCATGAAACCACCGACCTGTAATATAGAGGGCTGGTTGTTGTGTTGCAACCCGGTAGAAACGCTTCTCAAGTAAACGAAAGCTGAATAGTTGAGACGCGTTTAACGTGCAAGTGCCAAAGACATCAAAACTGCTCTTCCT